AGCGGCTGAGCATTCCGGACTAGGTGGCTTCCTCCAAGGGGCCTGGAACAAGTCCATTTTTTCCATGTTTTTGCATGTTTTTTTTGCGGTGTCCCTCTGCACCAAAATGGTGAAGAGGGACACCGGGCCTTTTTTTGTCATTTTTGTGGCGCGTTCAAAAGCGGTGTCCCTCTGCATCAAAAATGATGCAGAGTGACACCGGGCCTTTTTAGTCCAGCACCGAGACGCGAGCGTCACCAGCTGGTAGGCCACCAGGTGGATGAACAGGTCCGTCATCGTGCCGTCCAGGCCCTTGAAGGTGAACCGGGCAAGGTCGCCCGAGCGGGTGCTGACACCACTCAGCAGCATCTTGGGCACGCGCTCGGTGGGGAAGCCGGCAATGAAGCTGTGGCGCAGGTAGCCCACGCGGCCGATGTCGATGTTGCGCACCGTGTCGTCGTAGGTGCCCGCGGAAGTGCTTTGAGGCTCCCTTCATGGGGTTGTGAGGGTACTGCAGGCTGCCCAGCTGCTGTCCTCCTGCCTGGCCGCGCCGATGGGGGCCACGTCCTGCCCCGAATTAACCAGCAAGTGGATCTTGGAGCCCGCGTCGTTGTCCCAAAAGGTCACAAACGCGCCCATGAGTTTCGTGAAGGCGCGCGCCACGGTGACGTTGTGCTCCGCCACGCCGTTCGGGACGCTGGACTGCTGCGTGTGCACCGTGGGGTAGCTGAACACCAGGGACCTTCCTGAGAGGAGCACGCGGTTGAAGGACTCTACCAGCGCAGAGTCCAGGACGACCTGGGAGGCCAGAACTCGGACGTTCTGGATCTCAAAGTCGGTGCTCAGCGTGGCCCCCGCCGGGTGCGCCCCGGCGTTCTCGGACCACAGCGCAGTTGTGGCGTCCGCAAACTCAATTTCTATCACCAGGTTCAGCTGCGGCGGCAGCATCTTCCCGCAGCGCAGGATGCCCACCATGGTGGGGCGCAGCAGCACGTCCGCGTAGCCGCCCTGGTGCACCGCGCGGGCGATGCGCGGGTCGTTCACTTCGTCGAAACCCTCCCTGGCCTTGTTGCGGTTGTACTCTCGGCCCTTCAGCAGGTCATGCACGGCCACGGTGCGGCCGTAGTAGTTGATGTCGTCGCAGCGCTGGCCGTTGGCGAAGACCTGGACGCGCTGGACGAAGCAGGCGGGGTTGGGCGTGGCAGGGGCCAGCGGGTTGGTGCCGTCCGTGTTCCTGACGCGGAAGGCGATCTTGATGGACTCGGGGTCGATGAAGGACGTGCCGCTGGTCAGCGGGATGCGGCAGACCCGCGAGGTTGTGGGGGAGAAGGAGCTCAGCGTGCTGGGGAAGTACTGCACGTCATGCCGCGCCGTCACGTAGCTGGTGTTGCTTGTTTTCAGCTTGTAGTCCAGGCTCTGCATCAGCTCATCCTGGGCTCCGGCGGTGACTACCTCCATGCTTGTTTATATACACGCATTTTGACTCGTACGGCGAAGGAAAACTATTCTTCCAGTGTCTATATTGATATAGGCGCTGGAAGAATAGCGTTTTGTGGCGCAAAACAGTGCAAAACGAGCTATTAGTCCGGTGCCTACATTTACGTAGGCACCGGACTAATAGCATTTTGTAGTGCAAAACCGTGCAAAAAATGCTTCTAGTCTCGTCCGTATGTGTATATACGGACGAGACTAATAGCATTTTTTCAGCGAAAAACCGTGCAAAAACCGTGCATTTTTTAAGCAGCCTCAATGTCTCGCGCCAGCTGGTCAAAGCTGGGCGGAGGCAGGCTCCGGCGGTCCTTCACGTTCTTGTCGTCCCATCGCGCCGATAGTTCGCCAACGCATCTCTTCTCAAAGTCATCCCAGGCCGCCCAGGCCTCGGAATCCCTCTCCATCGCAAAGCAGACGTGGCGGACCTCAAGGGCGCCGACTTGGCTCCCTTGGGGCTGGTCTGGACCTTGCCAATGGCGAATGTGGCGGTAATAGTCATCTGATGCCGGCGTTTTTTTTTAGTAGGGTGGCAAAAAAAGGTGGTCCGACCAAGGTATCGGCCCCGGCTCAAGCGGCTCGAGGGCCATTTCCGGAAAAGACGTATTTTTGTCCATTTTGCATGACGGGTTACCGGTGTTGCCTTTTTCTCACGGTTTTCACGTTGTCGGTCGTGGTTGGACTTGAGCCTTGTGAAGGCGAGATTCGGCTTGCTGCAGCCTTTTCGGGCATTTCTTCTTGATCCGGGGTGGGGGGCGTGGGTGCAAGTCGCGTTCGGGCCTTTATTGTCCGTGCTGTCAATCCGACTTGGTGAGGCCATGTGGAGTTGAGAATGTTTTTCCTTGTTTCGCCGCCACCCGTGCTAGGCTCTGCTCGACCTCAAAATCAGCTGCCTGGGCCTTGAGTGGACTGCGTTTTTTTGTTTGGAAGTGGCCCCGGCTTGCATTTGCGAGGGACACCGTTTCTCTTGAGGTTGAACGGGTGTTTGAAGTTTGCTGGATTGCAGGTGGTCGACCTGTTCCCGTCCAAGACTATTCCTGGGGGACCTTTACATCAACTGGCCAGGGCCCTGAGGGAACGCGGTGCGAGCCATGTGTGTTTGTCAAGTGTTGGGTTGCCCTTGGGGTTGGTGGTAGGGGTTGGTGCTGGCGCGCTGGTGATGTTTTTTCTTGGATAGTGCTCGGGTGGCTATAACTCCCGACCCCCCGGGGAAAACCCCCTAGGGCGCAATGCCGCACCCAAATTTTCTGAGCTTTTTCGTTTCCAGGGCTCCCGGAGGCTGTTTTTTTCCGAGCGCCAGCGGTGCTCCCAGGCACCACCCCTCCCTTACTTTCTGTCGTTTTGGGATTTTCGATTTTCGCCCTTGTCGCCGGTTTGGGTGATGCGGCGATGCCGTGATGTGGGATTCCTGTCAATCTGATGCCGGTGATGCGATCGTCGTTGGTGCTCCTGGGCACTACCCCTCCTATGGTTTTCCAATTTTCAGTTGTCCGCTTCGCCGTTTTGGATGGTGCGGAGTTGTGGGCATGAAGAGTTGTGATGTGTGAGCTTCTCGGCCGAGGCAGCTACGGCAAACACCGTTTCACCTGGCGTTGTGCAATAAGCAGGGACGTTTCGTTACACCGCAGCTTTGCTTGACTTTCCAGGATTAGCAGTCAGCAGTGTGGGGAAAGAGCCCTTGCGTCACTTTGCTCAGCCAGTGTTCACCTGCCAGCATGATTTGGAACGCTTCAAGCATGACAGTCTTTGGTGCAAGTAGCCTTGCCGTTCTTCAACTTGCAGTTGCCGTGCAATCCCAGCCCCTCCCCCAGGCCGCAGCTTCATGTGAACCCGTGAAGGCCTGGAGAGGCTGTAAGGGGACTGGAAAAATGGAAGAGTTGGAGGGCCCAGTACACGTGAATTCGTGAAAATCCGAAGCACCCAACACACGTGAATTCGTGAAAATCCGAAGGACCCAATACACGTGAATTCGTGAAAATCCGAAGCACCCAATACACGTGAATTCGTGAAAATCCGAAGCACCCAATACACGTGAATTCGTGAAAATCCGAAGGACCCAATACACGTGAATTCGTAAATTCGAAGGACCCAATACACGTGAATTCGTGAAAATCCGAAGGACCCAATACACGTGAATTCGTGAAAATCCGAAGGACCCAATACACGTGAATTCGTGAAAATCCGAAGCACCCCAATACACGTGAATTCGTGAAAATCCGAAGCACCCCAATAAACGTGAATTCGTGAAAATCCGAAGCACCCCAATACACGTGAATTCGTGAAATCCGAAGGACCCAATACACGTGAATTCTTGAAAATCCGAAGGACCCAATACACGCATGACAACACCAAAACCCTAAGTAACTGCCCACGAATCTGCTGCCTGACCAGACTCACGGGTTCACGTGAAACTGCTGCCTGACAAGATTCACGGGTTCACGTGTATTGGGTCCATCGGACTTTCACGAATTCACGTGTATTGGGTCCTTCGGATTTTCACGAATTCACGTGTATTGGGTGCTTCGGATTTTTCCCGAATTCACGTGTATTGGGTCCATCGGATTTTCACGAATTCGCGTGTATTGGGTCCTTCGGATTTTCACGAATTCACGTGAAACTGATACCTGACACTGCCTGACAAGATTCACGGGTTCACGGCCTTCCTCTCCCTCCTCCCCTCCCTCTCCTTCCCCTCCTACCCCCAACCCGCAACCCCCCCAAACCCCAAACCCCTCCCAAACCCCCTAACCCCCCTCAAACCCCCCCCAAACCCCCCAAACCCCACCCAAACCCCCCGCATCCCCTGCCCCAAGTGTCCAAGTGCGTCCTGCCCCAAGTCCCTGCCCCAAGTGCATCCTCCCACTCAAGTGCGTCCCTGCCCCAAATATCCCTGCCCCAAGTGTGCCCCCTGCCCCAAGTGTGCCCCCTGCCCCAAGTGTGCCCCTGCCCCAAGTGTGCCCCCCGCCCCAAGTGGCAGGGTTGAGAACCGGCGAGCACATGGCTGAGAGCTCAAGGGAATCGGGAATCGGGGGGTGGATCCGGGAGGGTAGGGGACTTGGGGGACTTGGGGCACCCAGGCGACTCTGGTGGAGGGAACCTAAGCAACTGGGGATCGTGGCGCCTTTTGCTCTCTCCAAGCCATTGAAGCTTGCAACCCATCCATGAGACGCTTGGGGCCCTAGGCCTGTGAGGCTTTCTTGAAGACTTTCGGGACGTGGTGGAGCCGAAGTCAGCCTCCTTCAAGACCTTGTGAGTGAAGAGCTTCCAAAAAACCTGTTGCCAGGCCGAAGCCCAAACATCTTCCCGGGGCGCGGCCGGCGAGTGACGAGCCCCATGCATCCAGGGGGCAGAGGAGCTGGGAAACATTGCGCTTGCGGTGGTTTCGGATTTGACGGATCAGCGCCCGCCATGCGAAATGTGTGAAAACATTTTTGCTTGTAGCCTGGCCCAAAGAAGCGCTCAGAAAAAAAAGCAGCGCTGCCGACGGTCCACGCACACAGCGCAAAGTCGCGCTTTTAAATCCACATCGTGTCGCAAACTAGCCACGAGGGAAACACTGCGCAGCCATGGGCGTGGAGACGACGAAGGGCAGGAGGAGCCGAGGCTGGTCAGCTTCAACTCGTGCTTGTTAGGACTCGTTGTCGTCAGGTGTTCGCTCCCGCATTCTCCTGACTGCAATCTCGTGGCTTTTCTTGCACACGGCCAAGACCTCGGCAGCATTGTTCCAGTTCTTTTGTTTGCTGGTTGTGGCCCCAGGTACATCTCTTCACCATCCCTCACGGGCGGATTTCACCGAGTCGCCCGGGCTGGAAGGACACTAGATTCCTGGCATCTTGGCTGTGTTTTGCGTGGTGCCACCAGGATTCTCGCGGGCCACAGGTCCAGATCCCGGTGTCGCTGTGATGTTTTTCTGCTTGGATTTTCAGCTCTTGAGGTGACACGCTGGCACCCTGGGCGTGGCGGAGTTGCTTTGCGTGCCAGCCCGCAGCAGGACGCTCCAATCAGCAGTTTTAAATTTGGCCGGTTGCAATCGTGCCAGGACAGTGGTGCAGAGGCCGGGGGGCTCGCATGCGCCAGGCTCGGTTGTTGGTGGGAGCTGGCAGGACTGGCTCGCCAAGAGCCGCGAGGAGGTGGAGGGCTTCAAGAAGGCCCAGGTGCCCAGTTGGGCAGAGGCTGTGCTGATTGACGGCGGGCTGGAAGCAGACGATGAGTTCATCCAGCGGACGGTGACCACACTGCAGCAGCAGGGCGTCACCGGCAAGTCCCTGCTGAAGCTGACGCTGGAGAAGCTGATGGCAGATGGAGTCGCACGGGGCCCAGCGGAGCTTCTGGCTGAGAAGATCCAGCTGCTGAACGAGCCCGAGGCTGAACGAGCCCGAGGCACGGCTGGAAAATCGTCTGCTCTTGACTTTGTTCTGAGATATTGCTCTTGACACGCGCCGTTGGTTGTTGTGTGTGGTTTTGATTTCCCCCCCGGTTTCCAATGGGGCTGCCCTGATCAACATCCACAGAACCAGGAAATCCCAAGATTACATGTGTGCAGATTGCGGCGCTTCTTGTCGTTGGCAGGCTCGGTAGGGACCCCCCATGAACGGATGGTCGACATTGATTGAGACGTGCCGTTGATCGTTGTGAGTGATTTTGTGCTTGCCCCCAGCCTGCTTTTGAAAGAGCAAGACCCGCCCGTCTGCCGGGGAGAGGGAGGGCAAACTCTGATGTCTTTGCACCCATTGGGGCCCTTGCTGCTGCAGGCACAAGTGCATTCTATGAATGTTCTCTTTGATGCAGTGAGCTCAACCATTCCCGGCTTTGCATCCACTCGCAGTGTTCTTGCTCGATGTTTTGCCCGTTTTGCTGCCATTCCATCCCGTTCTGTTGTTCATTTTTCTCCGTACCTGTTCATATCTGCCTGATTTGGCGTGAGTGTTTGGCGCAAAACTATCAAACAGTCGAGGGGGAGCCCGCAAATATTGAAGAGCCTGCTGTTCCAGTCGCCTGCCTTTTGAAGAGCAAGACCTACCCTTCTGCCATGGTCGTTGCTGCTGCAGACACAATGCAATCCGAAGGTGAAATTTTGTTCCGACAGCACGAGCATGGAGGAGATTGCTAAAGTGTGCACACTGTGCTTCTGCTGCCGGCTGACGTTGAGACGTGCCGTTTGACGTTTTGTGGGTTTTGATTTCCCCCGCGGAAATGCTTTCAGTGGGGCTGCCCTGATCACATCCACAGAACCTGAACATATTTGACGCCACTCTCATGGGCAGTGTTCCTGCTGGAAAATTTGGTTTTGTTTCGGTTTTGGTACCCTTGTGTTCCTTGCTTTCCTAGTGCTCGGCTTTCGCACTAAGTACCCATGCTTCTTTGTGATCTGTTGTGAATGGTTAGCGTTTTGCAAAACATGGACCCCAGTGGGAAGGAACCTGCAAGCGATCGATTTTCTCACCAATTGCCGATGCGTGCTTGGTTTGTTGTGATTGTTTGTCCTCTCCAGCATTCCCTCATGCATGGCCAGCTCAAGTTTGGGCACCTCCCGCGCAGGTTGAGAACCCTCGTTTTAGTGCCACAGATCTCTTGGACTTCGAAGACCGCTTTTTGAACAGCCGAATCAACAACAAGGATGAGCGGCCGTTTCTGGAAAGGGAGGCGGTTGTTGAGAGTGTTGTGAAGCAACTAGAACAGATCCAAAGGACCGGGACCAACAAGCCGACGGTCTTGGCCTTGTGGAGCCCAAGGGGCACCGGCAAGACATCGCTTATCCGACACCTGGCTTTGAATGTCCCGAACTTCGCAGAAAGCCGAGGATGTGGGCGGCTCTTGGTTTTTGATGCGGTAAGGATTCCATCAGCACTGTTGCGCAAAGATCCTGATTTGCTGGCTTCTGCGATCATTTTGTGGCATCTTTGCCGCATCTTCGATGGCTACTCTGTGGAGGTGAGCCAAGGGCCACCGATTGGTTTCCAGAGGAGGACGTTCAGCGATTTGGTCATCACATTGGAATCATCGAGGCTCGGCCAATCACCGCCAGCTGTCGACAGCTTTGAGGCTTGGCTTCGCTTGCGTTGCAAAACCAAGGAAGCTGTTTTCGAGCAGTGGCTTTCGGTGACGTCTGCAGCCTTCAATGCGACACCAGACTGCGCTTGCTTGGTGTTCCTCGATCAGGCAGAGCTGCTTGTGAACAGACAGGTCGAGGGAGTGAGCCAGCATGGTGGACAGAAATCAGCTTTCACCGAAATATTTGGAGAATTCCCGCAGAAGATGGGCATGTTTTCGGCAGGCACGGTGAATATCTTGACCGATAGGCCATCGGAGGAGTACACCTCGCTTGAGGTCCTGGAAGTACCGGCTCTACCGCCGTTGTCACTGCAAGCCGCCAGACGGGCCATGGCAGAGTGGGGAGGCCCGCAATACAAGAAGAAGGAATTCAACAACATTCACCTCTTCTCGGCTGGGGTACCCCGGCTTCTGGAGGCGGCTTTCCAGACCTGGGGTGAGTTGGCATCAACTGCTCAGGTTGCACTCAATGCCATGTCGCAGAAGTTCAGAAGCTCGTATGCGGATGCAGCCCCCTACTTCCGTCAGCCAGAAGTGGCTTTGGCGTTGGTTCTTTGCTCGGCGGTTCGATGGCCTGCAGAAGGCTACCAGCTTGTGCCCGGAACCTCAGTGAGGTGGTCAGACATCTTCAGGGCCGGAGCAGCATTTCCAAACAACAAGTCCGTACTGGTTCCACGGCTGTGGTGGTGTGAGGATACCAATATCAAAGACGCCATCCGAAACGATTTGAAAGAGCTGAACATTGACCTGGAGGGGCTCCTGCCAGATTCCTTGCAGTTGCTCAACAGCCCAACAAGGGGTGCCACTGAAAGGGGGGAGAAGTGGGAAGAGCTGGTTGCAAATTCCCTGGCAGCGCGGTTCCGCCTTCACTGCATAGCAAGAAACCTGAGTGCTGAAGTCACCTGGGTCCCTTTTTTGAAGATCTACCCTACGGAGGATCCACATTTGCGAGCTGTTTTGGAGCCTTTCGAAGTTTGCTGGAGTGATGGTGTGGAATATCCAAACGGCCAAGGCAATGAAGCAACTGTCATGAGTGACGTTGGGAAGGCCATCAAGTCCAACCGGAATTTTGCAACGGCTCACCACGACCTTTTGATCCCTGTGAGATGCAAGGCAACTGGTAAGCTCGAGTTCATTGCTGCGCAATGTCGTTATGGAAAGAAACAGGATGCAGGCGGCCTGAAGTTGCAGGACAAGGCAAAGAAGGACAACTTTGAGGACATGCAAAATGTGTTGCTGCAGATTTGCAGTGAGTCTGAAGGCTGGCAGTCCTTTACAAACGAGACATGGGCCAGACGTCAGGAGGAGAAAAAATACTCTCTCATGAGTTGCGAGACTATCATTTCGCAGCTGGACGTGCTGAAACTGTTGTGAGTGTAAAAAAAATCGCGCTAGCAGGTGGGAGCAGGGCGGACTTAAGGTCACAAGAGGCTTCACATGTTCCATGGGTGTCAGGCTTGCATCCACAAACTGAATGGCCGTCTTGGGCGGGGTCCAGGGATCGCTCTAAGGTCGAGATTTGCAAAATCGTGTTTGGGCTAAAACTTCTCTCCACAAGCTAAGGCATGTTGCTTCCGTCAAGTCTGCTCAAGAAGGTCAGCGGCCCGAATCGCTTCTGGGCCGCCTGGGCCCCAGGAAGTCGTCCAGCTGCCTCACCGCAGCCGGTCTGCCCCGCCTCGTCAGTCGGCCCGCCGCGTTGCCGCTGCCCTGGGGCGCCGGCAGCGCCAGCTTCAGCAGGGTCTCCCGGCCCTCGGTGCTCCGGACGGTCATGGAGTCCACGACCCGCAGCTGCTGCACGTCGCCGTACTGAGGGTTGAAGCTCCTCGCCGCGTTCGTCGGTGCTCGGAAAGCGCCCGCGTCCTCCACGGCCTTGATGCGCCGGTCCGTGAGGTCCTTGTTGTGCTGGAACTTGTCGGCGTTGTCCTGCAGCAGCCGGAACTCGGTGGCCGGCTGCTTCTCCACGTCCTTGGTGCGCCGTACACCGTCTCGTGCGGCCGGGCGTTGTAGGCCCCGGCTGCTCACTCGAAGTGGTCGCTCCACTGCCCGCCCTTGCGCGTCACCCTTGTGGCCAGGTCCTTCTTCAGCGTCTGGATGCCCCGGTCCACCACGGCCGTGGCGTTGCGGTCCTCGGGGCGCTTCGTCCGGTGCACGGCTTCCTCGGGCAGCTCCCGGCCCAGCGTGGCGAACTCGTTGCCCAGGTCTGTCGTGACCACGAAGTTCTCGTCGTCCCCCGTCACCTCCTGCGCGGCGCGCTTGGTGGCCCGGCCGACCGTCTCGGCGTTCTTGTTTTGCAGAGGTTCCACGGCAGCCGCCCGGGTGAAGACGTCCATCACCACCAGGCCGTACCTGGTCTTCCCCCGAGTTCTGGCTGAAGTCGATGAGGTCGGCCTGCAGCCGGTCGTTCGGCCCCTCGGCGGCCGACTTGCCCAGCGCACGCGGCCGTGGCGCCTGCACCTGTCGGCCCACGTCGGCCTTCAGCGCCTTGAAGGCCATGGCCTGCATCACGTCGAGGTTGCGCTGCCTCGCGAGTCGGTACAGCTTCCGTGGGTCCCGCGCGTTGAAGTCGTCGGCCAGGTCCCTCAGCGCCTCCATTCTAATTGTTCTTTGGCCCGCGCTGGGCCTGCCAGGCTTCTACCTTGTCCAGCCAACCTTGGAAGCCCTCACCCCCACAGTACGCTGGTGAGGCGCGAGTAGTCGAGCGTGACCATCTCCGGTCCCCGTCAGGTTCTTCCACTTCGCTCCGGCAAGGTCGTTCGAGGCGAAGCCCAGCCTCGGGGCGCTTGTACTGCTTGGCCTCCACGGAGTCGAAGAGCTGCAGCAGCTCCCCCACGTCAGCCTCGGCAATCTCCGTCTTGACCCGGCTGTCCGACAAGTTGGTGAAGCTCGTGTTGCAGACCACGTTGCCCGTGTTGCCGGCTATCACCAGGCAGCCGGGGTTCCTCTGGTTCGTGGTCAGGGACAGCTGCGTCGAGAGGCTCTTCGTCTGCACCAGCGCCTCGTCGTTGATCATGATGAGCTCGCACTGGTGCGCCCCGCCGTCCCGCTCCAGGAAGACACGCGCGCTCTGGTTGCCCAGCAGCCGCAGCTCCGGGCCGCTGTCGGAGCCGCGCTGTTGTTGGAAATCTGCAGCTTGCTCCAGCCCGCCCAGTTCTTCGTCAGAAAGAGATCGTCCGAGAAGTCGGAGGTGTTGGTCACGGTGAGCGTGTTGGACGCGAAGAGCTGCGGGGCGGAGACCGTGCCCGAGCTTGTCACGTCGCCGCACACCACGCTGCCCGTCGAAACTCCGCCGCTCGTGGCCGTGAACAGTCCAGGCTCTCGCAGTCCAGCCGCCCCGGTGATCGTCAGCGTGGCGCCCGTGAGCGCCCCGGTGGCTGCGAAGCTCGCCGCCGTCGCTGCGCCGGAGGCCGTCAGGGTGCCCGTGGACACGTCGCCGACCGTGGTGAAGTTCCCGGCGTTGGCCGTGTTGTTGATGGTGAGAGTGCTGCCGGTGATCCCGGATGCTCAGCGAGCTGCCCGACACGGCGCCGGCGGACGTCAGCGTGGCTCCGGACACGGCGCCGGTGGCTGTGAGCGCTGCACAGGAGACTGCGCCCGAGGCGTCCACGCCCGTCGTGAACACGTCCGTGCAGTTCACGTCGTTGCACAGCAGCTGGTCGCAGCCCACGTTGCCCTGCGCGGTGAGCCCGTCCAGCGTGGCCGAGCCCGTCAGGGCCAGCGAGTCGAGGTCCGTCACGGAGACCGACTCCTTCGAAGGCGGTGGCCCTGATCTGCAGGCTGTACAGATCCAACGTGCCCGCCGACTGCTGCACCAGCCCGGAGATCGACCCGCCGAAGGCGCCGAAGTGCAGCTTCGCGACTCCGCCCGGCGGCGCCGAGAAGTCCAGCCGCGCTGTGCTCCAGACTCCCTGCGCGGCCGTGCCGAGCTGACGTACATCACCAAGTTGGAGGCCGTGCCCAGCCGGTACCGGCAGCCGAAGGAGTAGCGTCTCCCCGGCGTCAGGGTGTAGGTGCGCACGATGTTCCAGGCGAAGGCGCTCAGGGTCATGGCGTAGCCTTCCAGCTCAAAGCCTTCTATCGTGAAGCTGGCCAAGGCCAAGGAGCTCTGGCTGTTGGAGCGCACCAGGAAGTTGCCCAGTGTGGTCAGGGTGGGCTCCAGCAGCACCTCGCCCAGGGTGGCCAGCGTGACGTCGGCCCCTCCGTCGAGGAACTCGTGCTTCAGCGGCCGCCGTGTCCGCCTCGACCTCGACGGAGTTGGCGTTCCTGCCGTCTGGTTGGGCAGGGCTTCGCGACCCCGTTCGGCGCCCTGGTCCCCCGCGAAGCTGCCGTACAGGGGGGTCGTAGACGTTGTCGGCCTCGGACATGTGCGCCACGAAGTTGGAGGGCGTGCCGAGCCGATACCGGCAGGCGAAGAGGAGCTCTCGGCCGGGGGTCAGGTTGTAGGTGCGCACGATGTTCCACGGGTTCACTGCCAGGGTCAGGGTGTAGCCGTCCACGCTCACTGCGCCCACATGGTGTGCGTGGCCAGGACCACGCCCGCGCGCTGCTGGGACGAATGGTCCAGTTTGGCAGGGAGACGTCCGTGGGGCCCAGGATCTGCTCGCCGATGGCGGCCACCACCTCGTCGGCCCATCCGTCGTCCGGGAAGCGCACGGCTATCTCCAGGGCTGAGGCTGCCTCCGTGACTCCGAGCTGAGCGGTACGCCACCAGCGCCGAGGACGTCCTGGTCCGGGCCCGTCCGGTAGGCCAGCAGCGCGCCCGCGATGGCGGCCTGCGTCTGTGTGTCCTGCGCGCTTGCCGTGCGGTAGTCGGCCAACAGGGCGTCCACCTGCGCCGAGGTGTAGTAGGCCAGCAGCGCAGCCGAGATGGTGCTGGTCGTCTCGGCGTCCTGCGCCGCCCCCTGTTTGGTAGTCGACCAACAGCGCGTCCACTTGCGCCAAGGTGTAGTAGCAGCAGCGCAGCCGCGAGGGCCGCGTCCGCCGCTGCGATGGAGTAGTTCGACAGCTTCAGGTCCACGCCGTCGGGGGTGCTCTTCGTGGCCACCACGCCCTCCAGCACGTCGAAGGCCGACTGGTCGGCCTTGTTGGAGAGACCACGAGCGCGGCGATGCTGCTTCCGTGCGCAGCCACCTGTCCGTCCGTGGTGGCCAGGGCTGCTACCGTGGCCAGTGGCGCGATGCCCGGCGCCAGTGCGCTGCTGTCCAGCTTCGAGGCCAGCTCTGCGGTGACCCGGTCGTCCAGGGACTGGATGCGGCTGCGTTGTTGCCGGAGGCTGCCCTGTTCACGGCCAGGTCTGCCACTTGTGCGTAGGGCGTCAGAGCCAGGGCCAGCTGCCCTGCGGTGACGTGCGTGCCGTCAGTTACCTCTCCGTTGTCCAGGAAGGACCTCCGGGATGTTGCCGGTGACAAGTCCTTCAAACATGTTTACATATGTTTTCGCCGACGCCTTGGTCCAGTGGCTTTGGCGTCGGCCAAGGAACTTACTGCTTCTTACTCCGCACTCGATTCCTGCCCGGACGGCGAGTTGGGTACGGAACGTTCTTTTTGCTGCCAGGCTGATGAGCGCCACGGTCTTGCCAAGGCCGGCATGCAGCTGAAGTATATGGGCAGTGAGTCGTGGCTGGCTCCACACCTGGACCTGCTGCTGGGCAACGTGTCGGTGCTGCACTCGCCCTTCTTCGGTTCCGGAAAGCTAGAGTACTACCTTGCCCGGCGGCGCCCGGGCCTGGAGCGGACACGTTCGAGCCCGTCGTGAACCTGCGCCGCTGCTACTTGAGGCGAGACCCGGTCTTCCTGCGCTCCCTGGCACGCCTGGCGGGGCGCGACGTGGACAAGCGCTTCTACTTCAGGCGCCTCCTGCCGGGCGCGCTGAGAGGCCCTGCCGGGCGCCGGGCGGCCTGCGCGTACGCCCTGCGCAACAGCTTGGCGGCTGCAGCTGCCACCGTCCAACGTGACCGTGCGGCGCCAGGATGCGCTGGCCTATCTGAGCGCTGCCCAGCACCCAACGCGGACCCTCCCTATATTTTCCCCGGTCGTGTCATGAACTACTACGGCACGAGGGGGCAGGGCCACAACCTGGCCTTCCACTCAGAGCTCCGAGACGCGCTCTTTGCAAGCGGCCTGCCCTTCGTCGCGAGCGTCAACGACGTGCCGGAGGCCCGGCAGCTCTACAGCGGGGCCGACTCCATCACGAGCCTGAGGTTGGGCAAGAACAGTTCCAAGCCCGAGCTGCTCGTGCTGCATCGGGGCAATCCTGTTGCCCGCGCAGGATTGACGGAGATGCAACCCAAGGCTCACATGCAGCAAATGAGGCCAAGAGAATTCCAACCCAACCAACCTTCTGCTCTGAGTCACCGTTGCGCTTAGAAAGCACTTATCAGGCTTTTCGAGCCACAAAGCTCCACGACAGAAACGCACTTACAAGGCCAGAAACAGCGCTTTAAGCCCGGGCAACTTAAACTTCCGAGACGCACAGAATGCGACAAGGACCCGTTTTGCCTGCATATTGAAGCAAGCTGAAAACCCTTGCAGAAGCGCAAGCAGAAGGGCTGTGGCCGCACCGCGCAAAACCACCAAATTTTCGCAGAACCCACATATGCTGAATGATAACCTCTGAGGATGCGCTGTGAGCGGTTTTAGATTTCACAAATAACAGAGAGAGCGTCATCGGATCGACCATGATTTGGAGGTGGCTGCGGCCGGAGCATTGCATTTAGGCGCACGTACTGGCTGCATTCTGGAGGCTGGAAGACCTGCCGCAAGCCCTGCGGCTCTTAATGGAGGCAGACTGTGGTCTTACGCGCCCGGGCCAAGTTCTCGTCGTCTGAGTAGAAGTGACTTGTCAGTTTTCGCTGGCGCAACAGCAGAGCGGCTGCAGATTGTAAAAGTAGGTTTTGCGGAACCACCGAAGCATCTGCGACGTTGCGGGGCTCTATGGACATTGTCTTGATTTTCATACCAGTACGCTAGCGTCCGTCGTCGTAGGTTGACTGCTTCCAGCATGCACTCTGTTCGTACTCTTGCTGTGCTCGAGCTTGGACGCTGGAGCAAGCTTGGACGCTTTGAATGCTGCCTTGGGCGCTGCCTTGGGCATGGGTGCTGCCTTGGGTGCTTGGGTGCTGTCTTGGGCCTGGGTGCTGCCTTGGGTGCCTTGGGTGCTGCCTTGGGCTGGGTGCTGCCTTGGTTGGACGGGGGGAGCGCTTGCCTTGGGCTTTGCCTTGGGCGGCGCTGCTCTGGGAAATCTCACCCCTCTCTCTGTTACTTGTGATATCTAAAGCCGCTTACAGCGCATTCTCAGAGCCTATCATTCAGCATATGTGGATTCTGCGAAAATTGGGTGGTGTTGTGCGGTGCGGCCACAGCCCTTCTGCTTGCACTTCTGCAAGGTTTTTCCGCTTGCTTCAATATGCAGGCAAAACGGGTCCTCATCGCATTCTGTGCGTCTCGAAATTTCAAGTTGTTCGGGCTTAAAGCGCTGTTTCTGGCCTTGTAAGTGCGTTTCTGTCGTGGAGCTTTGTGGCTCGAAAAGCCTTCTGCTCATATCCAAGCGCTTTCTTGGGCGCAGGCGCTCCCTGGGTATCCCTCCAGTCTTCTTGAGTGGCGCAGTGGTTGACGTGTTGAGCCCCGTACCCAACTCGCCGTCCGGGCAGGAATCGAGCCGCGACGGAGTAAGAAGCGCTCAGTTCCTTGGCCGACGCCTTAGCCACTGGACTAAGGCGTCGGCGAAAACATATGTAAACATGTTTGAAGGACCTGTCACCGGCAACATCCCGGAGGTCCTTCCTGGACAACGGAGAGGTAACTGACGGCACGCACGTCACTGCAGGGCAGCTGGCCCTGGCTCTGACGCCCTACGCGCAAGTGGCAGACCTGGACGACCGGGTCACCGCAGAGCTGGCGTCGAAGCTGGACAGCAGCGCACTGGCGCCGGCCATCGCGCCTCTGGCCACGGCAGCAGCCCTGGCCACCACAGACGGGCAGGTGGCATCGCCGCGCTGCAGAGCTCGCTGACCACGGGTCTCTCCAACAAGGCAGACCAGTCGGCCTTCGACGTGCTGAGGGCGTGGTGGCGACGAAGAGCACCCCCGACTGAAGCTGTCGAACTACAGCACCATGGCGGCCATGAACGGCTCCATCGCCTCGGCCAACAACGCCACGCTGGCCACGGTGGCGGCCAACTACGGCCTCAAGACGGTGGTGGACCAGCGCTCCCTAGACATAGCGGCGAGGATCACGCCGCTGGAGGTCGACACCAAGGTGGCCAACGCTCTCCTGGGAGCCGTCGCCGCCGCAGCGCTGGCCTCCGAGCTCGCGAGCCGAGACGCCTCCATCTCGGGGCTGCAGGCCTCCAAGGCGGACGCCAGCGCGCTGACCGCGTACGCCCTGCTGTCGGCCGTCGACACTTCCTCGGAGGTGGACTCTAAGATAGCGGCGGCCCTCCTGGGCGCAGTCACCACGGCAGCCCTGGACGCCGCCCCTCGGCAAGCGCGCTGACCGCCCTGCTTGCCACGGTGGACGGGCTGGACACGCCACTGGAGGTGGACACCAAGATAGCAAATGCCCTGCTGGGTCTCGCCACCGAGGCAATCGTCGCAGCGCAGCTTGCTAGCGGTGACGCCAGCATCACGGCGCTCCAGGGGGCCAACGACGCAACGCTGCTGGCCTCGTACGCCACGAACGCCGCGCTCTCAGCCAGCGAGACCGCGCTCCAGAGCGCCCTCGACGCAATCCTCGCGGAGCTCGCCGCCCTGCAGCTTTCCGGCAGCGGAGTTGTTAACGCGCCGGCCTGGGCGGGCTTCACAACTTGGGAGCTCCTTCGCGGAAGCAACGTCGTTCGCAACCTGCATCTGGAGGCTCCTCTCTCTGCTGCGCTGGCCAACGGCGACGACACGCTGAGCATCACGGCAGACTGCTACTCCGTCGCAGCGGCGGACGCGGCCCTCGCGGCTGCGCTGCTGGCCTACTACACCTCCTCACAAGTGGACGCGTTGTTGGTCGACTACCGAACGGGCACGGCGCAGGACGCGGAGACGACCGGTGCCATTTCGGCCGCGCTGCTGGCCTACTACACCTCGGCGCAAGTGGACGCCCTGTTGGGAGACTACCGCACGGCAAGCGCGCAGGACACGCAGACGCAGGCCGCCATCGCAGGCGCGCTGCTGGCCTACCTAACGGGCCCGGACCAGGACGTTTTCACAACCAACCAAATCACCTCGGCGCTGGTGGCGTACCGCTCGGCCGCCGACCAGGACACGGCAACGGCCTCAAGCATCGCCGCCGCGCTGCTCAGCTACTACACCATCGCACAAGTGGACGGTTTGTTGGCCGACAAGCTCGGAGTCACGGAGGCGGCCTCGGCCCTACAAATAGCCGTGCGCTTTCCGGATGACAGGGGGGCCGACGAGGTGGTGGCCGCCATAGGAGAGCAGATCCTGGGCCCCACGGACGTCTCACTGTCAAACTGGACGGTTCGCCCCAGCAGCGGCTGCAGCGTGGTCCTGGCCACCCACACCGTGAACCCGTGGAACATTGTGCGCACCTACAACTTGACCCCCGGCCGAGAGCTCCTCTTCGCCTGCCGGTACCGGCTCGGCACGGCCTCCAACTTCGTGGTGTACATGTCCGAGGCCGACAACGTCTACGACCCCCTGTACGGCAGCTTCGTGGGTGACCAGGGCACCTGGAGCACGGCCAAGATGTACTTCACCGTGCCTCCGAACGGAGTTGCGAAGCTGCACTTTGGGGCGCACTTCTAGGCGCCGGGCCAACCAGACGGGAACGGTGGACGTCTACGGGCTCCAGATCCTGCCTCGGCCCTGCTGCTGAAGCACGAGTTCCTCGACGGAGGGGCCGACGATCGCCACATTAGGAAATTTTCTGGCGCGCTCCAACAGCCAGCTCCGTGGCCTTGGCCAGCTTCACGGTGGGAGGCTTCCAGCTGGAGGGCTACGCCATGACCCTGAGCGCCTTTGCCTGGAACATCGTCCGCACCTACACCCTGACGCCGGGGAGACGCTACTCCTTCGGCTGCCGGTACCGGCTGGGCACGGCCTCCAACTTGGTGATGTACGTCAGCGCGGCCGACAACGACTACGTGGGCGTCACCGGCACCTTCCTCGGCACGGCCGCGCAGGGCGTCTGGAGCACGGCGCCGCCTGGACTTCTCGGTGCCGCCGGGCGGAGTCGCAAAGCTGCACTTCGGAGCCTTCGGTGGGTCGATCTCTGGGCTGGTGCAGCAGTCGGCGGGCACGCTGGACCTGTACAGCCTGCAGATCAGGGCCAGCGCCTTTGAGGGAGAGTCGGTCTCCGTGACGGACCTGCTGGCCGACTCGCTGGCACTCACGGGCTCGGCCACGCTGGACGGGCTCACCGCGCAAGGCAACGTGGGCTGCGACCAGCTGCTGTGCAACGACGTGAACTGCACGGACGTGTTCACGACGGGCGTGGACGCCTCGGGCGCAATCTCCTGCGCTGCGCTCACAGCAACCGGCGCCGTGTCCGGAGCCACGCTGTCGTCCACCGGCGCCGTGTCGGGCAGCTTGCTGAGCATCACGCGGGCGGCCAGCGTGGGCCTGCTGAGCTCGGCCACCGGAATCACCGGCAGCACCCTCACCATCAACAACACGGCCAACGCCGGGAACTTCACCACGGTCGGCGACGTGTCCATGGGCACATTGACGGCATCCGGCGCAGCGACGGCGGCGAGCTTCGCAGCCACCGGGGCGGTGACGGGCGCCACGCTGACGATCACCGGGGCGGCGTCCGCGGGCCCGCTGGACTGCGAGAGCCTGGACTGCACCTTCACGGCCACGAGCGGCGGAGTGTCGACGGGCAGCGTGGTGTGCGGCGACGTGACGAGCTCGGGCACGGTCTCCGCGCCGCAGCTCTTCGCGTCCAACACGCTCACCGTGACCAACACCTCCGACTTCTCGGACGATCTCTTCCTGACGAAGAACTGGGCGGGCTGGAGCAAGCTGCATGTCCAACAACAGCGCTGCGTCCGACAGCGGCCCGGAGCTGCGGCTGCTGGGCAACCAGAGCGCGCGGGTCTTCCTGGAGCGGGACGGCGGGGCGCACCAGTGCGAGCTGATCATGATCAACGACGAGGCGCTGGTGCAGACGAAGAGCCCGACGCAGCTGTCCCTGACCACGAACCAGAGGAACCCCGGCTGCCTCGTGATCGCCGGCAACACGGGCAACGTGGTCTGCAACACGAGCTTCACGGACAGCCGGGTGAAGACGGAGATTGCCGAGGCCGACGTGGCAGAGCTCAAGCAGCTGTTCGACTCCGTGGAGGCCAAGCAGTACAAGCGCCCGGACATGAACGGGGACCTGCGGCTGGGCTTCGCCTCGGACGACTTCAGGAACGAAGTGGAAGAATTTGACGGGGTCACCCTCGACTACTCGCACCTGACCAGCGTGCTCTGGGGGGTGTGCAAGGGCTTCCAGGCCCGGCTGGACGCACTTGAAGCCTGGCAGGCCCAGCGGGGGCCGAAGAACAAGTAAACACGGAGGCGCTGAGGGACCTGGCCGACGACTTCAACGTGCGGGACCCACGGAAGCTGTACCGACTCGCGAGGCAGCGTGACCTCGACGTGACGCAGGCCGTGGCCTTCGAGGCGCTGAAGGCGGACGTGGGCCGACAGGTGCAGGCGCCCCGGCCGCGTGCGCTGGGCAAGTCGGTCGCCGAGGGGCCCAACGACCGGCTGCAGGCGGACCTCATCGACTTCAGCCAGAACACGCGGGGCCGCAACAAGTACGGGCTGGTCGTCATGGACGTCTTCACCAGGGAGGCGGCGGTGGAGCAGACCAAGAACGCCGAGGCGGTGGGCAAGGCCACCAAGCGGGCCGCGACGACGAAAACTTCGTGGTGACCACCGACCTGGGCAACGAGTTCGCCGCGCTGGACCGGGAGCTGCCCGATGGCGCCGTGCACCGGACCAAGGGCCCCGAGGACCGCAATGCCACGGCTGTGGTGGACCGGGCATCCAGACCCTGAAGAAGGACCTGGCCACTCGAGTCGCCAGGAAGGGCGGCGGGTGGAGCCAGCACCTCGAGCAGGTGGCGGACGCGTACAACGCTCGGCCCCACGAGACGGTGCACGCTGCGCTGGAGGACGTCGAGAAGCAGCCGGCCACGGAGTTCCGTGTGCTCCAAGACAACGCCGACCGGTTCCAGCGCAACAAGGACCTCACGGAACGCCGCATCAAGGCCATAGAGGACGCCGGGGCCTTCAGGGCTCCCACCAACGCGGCGAGGAGCTTCAACCCCCAGTACAGGGACGCGCAACGGCTCGCGGCCGTGGACTCCATGACCGTCAAGGGCACCGAGGGCCGTGAGACCCTCCTGAAGCTGGCCCTGCCGGCTCCCCAGGGCAGCGGCAACGCTGCGGGCAGGCTGACTAGGCCGAGGACAATCGACTGATAACCAGCTGGCAACTTTGCAGTACCAAAGTACGGCTGATAACGCTACTGGCAACTTTGCAGTACATTTGAGCCAAAGACCGCAGCTCCAGCTGCAGTACATTTGAGCCAAAGAGCACAGCTCCAGCTGGCAACTTTTGGAGTACGAGGGGGAGGGGCTTCTGGCCCAGCTCCAGCTCTGGCAACTTTGTATTACATCTTGAGCCACACAGAACGCGTTTAGGCGGGCACCCAAAACACAACGCGGTTGGGGAGCCACATCACCCAAAAAAACACGCCCCCCCCCCCCCGGAAGGACGCTCAAGATGCTCGACACACAAAAACTGCTGTTTTCCGCCTCTAGGTCAGGGCTCCTTCTGGATCGGAATGCCTTGGATCGTCACAGGTGCCCTAGGTGCCCTGTGTGCCCTGAGAACAACCGGGAGCAGTCGAGTCTCCGACCGAAGCTTCGTGTAGACCTGGCAGCGCTCCGGGTTTTCCGAAAAAATGCACTGACTGTCCAAGGTGCTCCAAGTGCTCTTATCTCCCTCGATGGCTGTTTTTTTCACGGCGCGCGCCCTGTAGAGGGGTGGTGTCCCCCGTCCTGTGCACTCCGCACTCTGTGACCTGTACTGAGCATGCGTGAACCCCTTGACCAACATGAAAAAGAACTTCCATCGGACCAAGGACAAACTCGTGGGCTCACGCAGCTGCCTGGAGTGATTTGCACTGTCCTCTCCGGGCTACAAAATCAAAAGGCATGCGAAAAGGAAAAGATCTACGGCTCCGACTCCGCGGGGCCGACAAAGGAACCGCTGGGACGGAGCTTCACGATGTACCTGCCGCAGTACTTGTGGGCAACGAAGGTGTCGCACCAGACCGATTTGGCCTCCGTCTTGCCCAGCACGGGCTCTGCATAGGCGTGCCAGGCGCGGCGAACCCTGTCGAAGCCGGGGCACTCCTGGCTGCTGTTTGGCTGGATGGTGTAGGACCGCAAGAAAATCTCGGTCGTGGGCACATCAGCGGCCGTGTTGAGGAATAGCTGGGTCTCCCGCACCACAGCATAAGGCTGCGGGTGCAGCATCGTGTCCACCGCCCGACCTCGTCCGGCACCGGCTGGCCCCTGGACGTCGCCGAAGACCTTGAAGACCTGGCAGGGCAGGGGAGCAAAATGAAAAAAACAGCACCCCACCAAAACCCCCCTCCTGAAAGAGCAGGTAGCACAACCCCGGCGCCATCTTCTCGGCCATCTTCGGGCTCTTGAAAGCCGTGTCCACTGGGCGCTCATGAGGGGCCAATGGAGGGCCTTTCCTGGGGCTGTGCTTCGACCCCCGAAACACTGATTCAAAAAAAAAACTGAGAAGGCAAAAAAAATCAGAGAAGGCAAAAAAATCTGAGAAGGCGAGTCGAGATGCGAGGGCCTGAACCTGAAAGGCCACCTGACGACAGCGACGGATCTCTCCACCCCTCCGTCTTCCGTGACGTCCGTGGTGAAAGAAACCTTTGTGTTGGTACAGAGGACCATCCCCCAGGACACCTTGAACGGAACAATGTCGCCGTGCAAGGTTCTTGCGGAAACCGTGGAAGCTGGGTCCCTGAAGTCTTTGAACGTGGTGCTTTGGACCTTGGTCTTGTGGTCCAATTCCGGGATCATCAGGTAGCGGCGGCCTCGGAGGGACATTTTGAGCGGGGCGGCGGTTTCGGCCGACATGGAGGCTGACGTGAGGTCTTTGGGAATGCCCTTGGCGTAACTGCCCATCACGTACTCCAGAGCGGACCACCACGCTCCTTTACCGTTTTTTCCACCACCAACCCAAATGAAGGCCTGTTCCAAAAACTGACATCCAAACAGGCGAAGTGCAGCGTCTTTGAGTAGCAAGAGGACAATCTCCCAATTTTCATGGGACCTGTACAGCATCCGTACGAGTAGCCGCCCAGCTGGACGCGGCGCAGCTTGTCCTCAAACCAGTCCGGGTCGCGCACATCCCACAGGAGCGTGTGGCGCAGGCTGCGGTAGAGCTCCTCCTTGGTCCTGTACTGCTTCTCCGCGATAGGGAAGGGCGCCGCAGCTTCTCTGGCTGCGGCGAGTGCGGTCTCCCGCCAAGCCTTGGATCCCCTGTGACGGCCACAAGGCACGAAGACGACTCCGTCGTGCTCCCAGCTCGCAATGGTCGCGACCCCTGTGACCGCGACAGCCTTCGCCACCGCCTCTGAAATCTCCCGCTCCTTGAGCTGGTGCAAGTACGCCTGCAGTGAGGCTCCAGGGAACCTAGTCCTGAACATCTGCATCTGCGGGTTGTAGGCGGCCTCATCCTTCTTTCGCAGAATCCGCATCTCCGCCACCAGCTGCCTGGCAAAGCCAGGGACGCCATAGTGCGCGGCAAACTCCGCCAAGATGTGCTCCCCGCCCCCAAAGAAGATCTGGTTGAAGAGCTCCTTGGCACTCGCCCGTGGGGCGCCAGTTTCCGCCAAGATCTCCTCTCGATGCTCCACGTAGTACCTGACCAGCTTCGCGTCCGGGTGCCTCTGGAGAAGGATATGGGCGGCGCTGCAGACTTGATCCAAGTCGAGGCAATCGCAATCGAGTCTGCAAAGCTCCTGCGCCGATTGGACATCCGAAACAAAAAAAAAGGAACACAACCTACCCCAGTCCTTGATCTCCTTCTTGAAGCGGAAGGTGGACGCACTGGCTCTGTATGAGTCAATGCCCAGTCTGTCGAGCCCGTCGAAAACGGTCGGCAGGTTCGGGAACATGCCTATCCTCTCCAAAAGCTTGTCGATGGCATCGCTGTTGTCCTGGTCCTGCATCTCCAACTTCTTGAGCTCCTGCATCAAACCCTTGTACAGATTGTTGTGGTGCCCGGTATACAGCCGCCCGGGACGGTCAAACAGAGCTTGGGCAGCAGCGCTCAAAAAGGGGGAGGGAGAAGGGTGTGGAACAACGCCTGAAATTGCTCCGCCGCGGACTTCGGTCGCAGCAGATCTGGGCTGTGGGCTGCATCTCCATTGTCCTCAGGGCAGGCAAGCACAGAGGAAGTTTGGTCCGCAGGGTCCACAGGGCAAGCAACTAGGTGCCCTAGGTGTCCACGTTGATCGTTGTCATCCCTTTTCCAAGGAAGCCACCCGTCCGGCGAACGATGGGCGACTGGACTGCTGCGACGGAGGTGCAGCAGGAGATGTTCTCACACTTCGCGTTGATCAGAGTGGAGCTGGCGAACAGCTTCTGGCCCAGGAAGCTGAGCGCCGCTCCCATCTGAGTCTTTCTCAAGCGCGAAACGCTCTTCAAAGCGCTTGTAGAACATTTCGTTCTTAGGTTTTAGGTAGCGCGCGAAGAGGAAGCTAAAGGGCTCCCTGGTCGCCTGCTCGTAGATCCTGTGCAGCCTGTCCTTTGGCAGCAGGGCGCTCAGCTCTTCGATGACGGCGTCCAGCTCGTGCTGGTTGCGCAGCCTCCAGCAGCAGAGGAACTGCTGATTGACCCGCACGGCTGCGCTGATGAGCCTCAGCTTCTGGGAGCTCACCCATGTGCTGATTTGCATGTGCCGGCCTCGCATGAAGAGCGTGTCAAGGGCGCCGTGGGCCTTGTGCAGCTGCGGGGTGTCGGCGAAGTCGTCGATGACTACAATCACCTGGAGTTTCTTCATTTCCAAGTTCTTGGACGTCTCGGTGATCTTACGCTGCCTCTGGATGATGCTCCGCAGCGCAGCCTCGTCCCACTCGTCCCAGTAGGCCTGCTCTTTCTCCGTGTTCACCCCAAGGTCCTGCTCGATGTACTTCCTGCTCGATGTACTTCTTGACGGGGATCCAGCCGTCGTCGATGTTCACGCTGGGGCTGAAGATGTATATTTTCTCAAAGCTCCGCGATATTGCTCCAGAATCATGCTGATCAGCGCCACAGTCTTGCCCGATTTGGAAGGCCCGAGGAAGATGCCCGTGCATGGCACTAGGGGCACCACGGGGTCTGAGGGCTGCTTACTGCTCTACTCTGTCGTAGGAAACAGCTTGATCTTCCCCATTTGCCTTACTTCCCAAATTCGACGACGCCCGGCGCCTCTCTGAGCGCCCGGCAGGAGGTGCCTGAAGTAGAAGCGCCTGTCCATCTTGCGCCCCACCAGGCGCAGCAAGGAGCGCAGGAAGACCGGGTCTTGCCTCAAGTAGCAGCGGTGCAGGTTTGCGACGGGCTCGAAGGCGTCGACGCCACGCACCTCCAAGCCCGGACGCCGGGCGGCAAGGTAGTACTCCAGCTTTCCGGAACCGAAGAAGGGAGAGTGAAGCACAGTGACGCACCCAGCAGCCGGTCCAGGTGTGGTGCCAGCCACGCCTTGCTTCCCATGTACTTCAGTCGCATGCCTGCCTTTAGCTTTATCCCACAAAACTATGGGAGTGATGCGCTACTGGTGGCATCACACCCACTCTCGCCGCCCGGCTTCTCGGGAAAGTGGGGCTCCTTCGCGCAGCAGCGGCCACTGGCGCTGAGCGGCGTGCAGCGTCTGTCAGCGGCCACCGACTTTTGTGACCGTGCGGCGCCAGGATGCGCTAGCCTATCTACGCGCTCTGCCCTGCCTGGCGCCCTGGCAGTGCATCTATGCCGACCCTCCCTACATCTTCCCCGCTCGCGCCATGAACTACTATGGCACGAGGAGGCGGGGGCATGACCTGGCCTTCCACTCGGAGCTCCGAGACACGCTCTTCGCGAGCGGCCTGCCCTTCGTCCTGAGCATCAACGACGTGCCTGAGGCCTGGGAGCTCTACAGCAGGGCCGACTCCACCACAAGCCTGTGCTCGGGGAAGAACAGTTCCAAGCCCGAGCTGCTGGTGCTGCATCGGGGCAATCCTGTTGTCAGGTGGAGCAATCCTGCGCCCGACGCAGGATTGAGTGGAGCAATCCTGTGCTCGGCACAGGATTGAGTGGAGCAATCCTGTGCTGGCGACCTTCGGCGCTGCGGCAGTGGCCCGCACCAGGCCCGCACCAGGGTTTTTTGGGCTGAAAACCAACTCCGGCAGTGATGCGGCCCCCATCGCATCGTGGTAGCATTTTTCGGGCAAAGTCGGAAGCTTGGAGCGAAGTCGGAATTCCGACCTCGGTGGGAGAGCGAAGTCGGAATTCCGACCTCGGTGGACTTTTAGACCGAAGCCGCGGAGCCGGCCTCGCTTTCAGACCGAAGCCGCGGAGCCGGCCTCGCTTTCAGACCGAAGCCGCGGAGCCGGCCTCGCTTTCCGACCTTGTCTCAGTGGTTAGAGCGCTGTCTCTGCACCCCTGCGACCGGGCATTAATGAACCAACATTGCCCATTAATGAATCAACCCGTTCCATTATTGACTCAAACTTGCGAAGAACGAAGTTATCTGGAACTCGGGAACTTGGCCGCTTTTGCGCACTTTTCGGCCCAAAAGAGAGCGGTGACGAAGCGGTGACAAGCGGTGACAAGCTCGGCGGGATGGAATTTGCCTGTTTTCCGGGCTGAAAGCAGAATCCAGAGCAAAGTGAGCGTCTGGAGCCTGCTTTCGACCGCAAACGAGCGAAACTAGAGGCTCAGGCATCCCACTTCCCGTCTGACACGGAAAAACAAACTTTTCGGAGTTGGCCGTTTTGAGCACTTTTTGCACCAAAAACGGAGCGGTGACGAAGACCGGTGACATCGAAAAAACGTTCAGCTGGATGGAGAATTCGGCTGTTTTGCAGGGTTTTTCGACAAAAAAGCCCAAATAATTAAGTTACTATAAGCTGATGTTCCTTACTACTCCAGGGCCCCCTCCATCACGGACCGTCTGCGCAGCACGGCCGACGGCGCGCAGGCGGCAGCGGACGGAGCAGGGCTCGCAGCCGCGCAGGCCTTCCGCTCGCAGCTCCAGGACGCAGCCGAGCACGTGCGCCTGAACGTGATGCCCCGCGCGGGCCAGCCGCAGCCGCCTCCGCAGATCTTAGGTTGGCGTCGAGCGCCTCCTGGACAAGGCAGGGCAGTGTGCGCAGAAGGGGGAGCGTGGCGCATGGCAGCGGGTGCGGTTGCTAGCAAACAGCTGTTGCCGTAGAGGGCGTGGGCGGAGGTTACGCCGCGCCCCTTCTCTTGGGGCCTGAACCCCGCACCCGCTCAGGCGACCTTGCTCGGTTCACCTTCAAGGGCCTGGACGGCACAATGACGCACCTGTTCATCCACCTGGTGGCCTACCAGCTGGTGACGGGGCGTCTCGGTGCTCGACGAAAAAAAACGTTCCCTTTGACAGTCCGGTTTTTGCAGCCAAAAAACCAGCAAAATCTACCAAAAAAACCGCTGCCACCCAACGCCGTTTTTGGCTAGAAGTGGCAGCGCCCAAGAAATAACAAAAAAAGGCCCGCTGTCGTTCTTCGTCGTTTTTGACGCTCAGTGACACCGCCAAAAAACCAGCAAAAACACGAGGAAGCCCGAAGAATGCTAAAGAAACTCACTGCCCTTCAATTTCGTTTTTGGCGACAAGTGACAGCGCTGAAAAAAAGAGAAAAAAAGGCCAGCTGTCCCTCTCAGCCTTTTTCGGCGTTTAGTGACAGCGCCCAAAACAAACAAAAAACGAAAAAATGCTTCTTCCAGGCTCCCTGGTTGCAGGGAAGCCCGAAGAGCCTAGTCCGGAATGCTCAGCCGCGCCGCAAGCTCTGTCGTGGCCGCACGTGCGATCTCGTCGCACAGCGCAGCAGGAACGCTGTAGAGCAGCTCGCGCGACAGCCGGCTGACCTAGGCTCGGGAGCCTCGGAGGTCCGTGCTCGAACCGCAGAAGGGGTACGCCCTTGTCGCACGCGGAGGGCGCCGCAGAACCTCCGTCAACGTCTACAAACTCGACGGCGCCGTGCTGACCCTTTGCGGGTCTTGCGAATCCAGCACGCGTCAAAGGCGCCCAGGTCCCAGACCAGCTGTTTTCCCCTCCCGAGGCCGATGCCTTGCAGCGTGGCCTGGGTCTGAGTTTCAGGCAGCCTTATAGGAACTTTTAGGAACCTAGACGAAACCTATAGGAATCCCATAGCTCTCTCTGTTATTTGTGAAATCTAAAACCGCTCACAGCGCATCCTCAGAGGTTATCATTCAGCATATGTGGATTCTGCGAAAATTTTGGTGGTTTTGCGCGGTGCGGCCACAGCCCTTCTGCTTGCAGCTTGCTTCAATATGCAGGCAAAACGGGTCCTAGTCGCATTCTGTGCGTCTCGGAAGTTTAAGTTGCCCGGGCTTAAAGCGCTGTTTCTGGCCTTGTAAGTGCGTTTCTGTTGCGGAGCTTTGTGGCTCGAAAGCCTGATAAGTGCTTTCTAAGCGCAACGGTGACTCAGAGCAGAAGGTTGGTTGGGTTGGAATTCTCTTGGCCTCATTTGCTGCATGTGAGCCTTGGGTTGCGTCTCCGTCAATCCTGCGCGCCGGCTTGGAACTGTTCTTGCCCGACCTCAGGCTCGTGATGGAGTCGGCCCCGCTGTAGAGCTCCCGGGCCTCCGGCACGTCGTTGACGCTCACGACGAAGGGCAGGCCGCTTGCAAAGAGCGCGTCTCGAAGGCCAGGTTGTGGCCCTGCCCCCTCGTCCGTAGTAGTTCATGGCACGACCGGGGAAAATATAGGGAGGGTCCGCGTAAATGCATTGCTGGGGTGCTGGGTAGGGCAGCGTGCAGCCGCCGCACGCAGCTCAGGGGCAGTGGCTGCTGCTGCCGTGCGAAGGAGCCCCACTTTCCTGAGAAGCTGTTGCGCAGCAGGGCGTACGGGCGCCCGGCAGGGCCTCTCAGCGCGCCCGGCAGGAGGCGCCTGAAGTAGAAGCGCTTGTCCACGTCGCGCTCCGCCAGGCGCGCCAGGGAGCGCAGGAAGACCGGCTCGCCTCAAGTAGCAGCGGTGCAGGTTCACGACGGGCTCGAACGTGTCCGCGCCACGCACCTCCAGGCCCGGGCGCCGGCGGGCAAAGGTAGTACTCTAGCTTTCCGGAACCGAAGAAGGGCGAGTGTAGCACCGACACGTCGCCCAGCAGCAGGTCCAGGTGTGGAGCCAGCCACGACTTACTGCCCATATACTTCTGCTGCATGCCGGCCTTGGCAAGACCTGGCAGCAAAAAGAACGCCCCGCACCCAACTCGCCGTCCGGGCAGGAATCGAGCCCCGTACGGAGTAAGAAGCAGTAAGTTCCTTGGCCGACGCCTTAGCCACTGGACAAAGGCGTTGGCGAAAACATATGTAAACATGTTTGAAGGACCTGTCACCGGCAACATCCCGGAGCTGGACAAGTCACCGCAGGGCAGCTGGCCCTGGCTCTGACGCCCTACGCGCAAGTGGCAGAGCTGGCCGTGAACAGGGCAGACAATAACGCAGCCGCCATCCAGTCCCTGGACGACCGGGTCACCGCAGAGCTGGCCTGCACTGGCGCCGGCCATCGCGCCACTGGCCACGGCAGCAGCCCTGGCCGCCACGGACGGACAGGTCTGCGCACGGAAGCAGCATCGCAGCGCTGCAGAGCTTCAGCTGACTTGACGGAAGCAACATGCCTCAGCTTGTGGCGGCCTGAAGTTGCAGGACAAGGCAAAGGACAACTTTGAGGACATGCAAAATGTGTTGCTGCAGATTTGCGAGCCTGAAGGCTGGCAGTCCTTTACAAACGAGACATGGGCCAGACGTCAGGAGGAGAAGAAATACTCTCTCATGAGTTGCGAGACTATCATTGCCAGCTGGACGTGCTGAAACTTTTTTGTGAGTGTAAAAAAAACGCGCTAGCAGGTGGGAGCAGGGCGGACTTAGCTTCACATGTTCCATGGGTGTCAGGCTTGCATCCACAATGGCCGTTTTGGGCGGGCTCCAGGGATCGGTCTAGGGTCGAGCATTGCAAAATCGTGTTTGGGCCAAAACTTCTTGCATCTCACAGGGATCCTCAGGTCGTGGTGAGCCGTTGCAAAATTCGGTTGGACTTGATGGTCTTTCCAACGTCACTCATAACAGTTGCTTCACCGCAAGAACTTGAGGCGCTTGCCGTCCACGCCCTCCTCTACGTGCATGCCGAGGAAGGGCACGAGCTCCACGAGGAGCAGGTAGCTCCTCGGAGTCGGACTCCCAGTCCAGCCCGAAGACACGTCTCGCGCAGCCAGCTCAGCTTGCGGCGTTTTCTTCTGGCAGGGCGATCGTCTCGCAGGGGCCGTTTGGGCATGGGCAGCGTCATTGCGGCTGGGGTACATGGCGTTGAGTCTCGCGGAGTGCCGCAGGCCTCCGGGCAGTGTGACGTAGTGGAGTGGGTCGAGCCCCGACTGCGCCCGGAAGGAGTCCCGGTAGCTCTCCATCACGTCCGCCGCCAGGGCCAGGACGTTGGTGTGGAGGTAGCAGCCGACCGTCTCCGCCTCAAAGACGAATCGAGCACTTCTGCGGCGCCGAGGCGTGGGAGAAGCCTGCGGTGTGGGAGCAGCACTGCTAAGCGGTGAGCGCGGAGGACTACCGGCTGGCAGTCAACACCGCCGACGTCATGGGCTGGAAGACCTTCCGGAAGTCCCACGACGTGCGCAGCTGCAGCTCGGGGTGAAGCAAGGCCATCAGCGGGAAGAGCTCGGGCAGCTGCTTGTGGGTGCAGGCCCTGAGGTCGTCGATCATCCTGGCCAGGCTCGTGGGGAAGACGTTCATGCTGCCCACGAACCTCAGCAGACCCAGCTCATCTGCAGGCACTTCTTGGAGGCAGAGGAGGCTGTAGTCGCCCTGCTTGATTGCGGCCTGCAGGGCGCACCAGCTGGTGGGGGGCTTCGGCGCAGCCTTGGCCTTGGGCGCGGCCTTTGGCTTTGGCGCAGCCTTGGCCATGGGCATGGGCCTGACGTCTGCCTCGCTCTCGGCGGCATCGTTGTTGCTGTCCTCGCCGAGCTCTACGCGCGGCGCCCGGCTGACATAGCTGGAAGTTGTAGCCGCCTCCGTTGTGAAAGACCACTGGGATGGTCTTGGGCGTCTGGGCCGCGATGTTGCAGGAGTGGCACAGCGCCGAGATACCGCCCGGTGCCGTGGCAGCGGAGCTTCTTCTTGGCGATCTCGAAGGATGCGAGGCACTCCCTGCAGTGAGTGGC